TGGGGGTGGACGGGGTTGCAGAGATAGGGAGGGGGTGGACGGGGTTGCAGAGATAGGGAGGGGGTGGACGGGGTTGCAGAGATAGGGAGGGGGTGGACGGGGTTGCAGAGATAGGGAGGGGGTGGACGGGGTTGCTGAGTGAGTTACAAACAAGTTTGAGAAATCACGAGGCAGTGATGAACCAGGGGACGTCGGGACTCGGCATGATGAGGATGACGGAGCAGCAGAGGTTTGTTTGATCTCATGTTTCTTGAACGTGGAGGTGGGGTACTGACGGGTGGAATAGTTGAGTTTGGATGTATAAATGCTCTGGGTGAGGTCAGTGTGGTGACTGGGTTCGAGGTATAGCGATAGGAGTTGTGTTGGAGAGGTTTGGAGGTGAAATGTACCCTCTGACCAGCTGTGAAATGCAGCTCCGAGTGTGTGTGTGTGTGTGTGTGTGTGTGTGCGCGCGCGCATGTCTGTTTCAGCCTGGGACTGCCTTTAACTCTTTCTGTACCTGTCTCTCTATTTGTGTCTGTGTCTGCCTCTGCCTCAGTCTGTCTATCTCCTTCTGTGTCTGTGTCACTGTGTGTCTCAGTCTTTGTCTCTTGCTCGTTCGCGCTCGCTCTCTCTCACTCTCTCTCTCCCTGTGCTTGTGTCACTGTATGCCTGCCTCTCGGTCTTTCTCTGTACCTTTGTGTGCCTGTCTCTGTACTTGTACGGTTGGGAAAATGAGTGCCTGACTCTGTATTTACCAATGCCTTCCCCCCCACCTCCCCTGTGTCTCCACTCTCCTCCTGCTCCCCTCCTACCCCAAGGGTGGCCCGTCCCCTTGCCTGTCCGAGTGGTGGGCTAATGCCTTGCGTTACCTCCCCTCGTTCACCACCACCCCCTCTCCTGAGCGCATGGCGTGGCCCACCCAGTTTCAGATATTGTTCTGCTTCCTTCCTGTCACACTGTACCCAGGCTACGTTGCTCCAGATAAAATCGACCACAAGTTCTTTGACCCCAAACACGCGTTCAAAGAGGTGGAGGTCCAGGCCAAGACCATTCGTGACCTGGTGACTGTGAAGAAGCCAAAGGTAAGGGAGAGGAATACCAGTCTCCACCCTCTACCGTCTCTTTCTGCTCTCTACTGCAGAGGATAGAACTGAAAATGGTGAAAAGCTGGGGGTGAGGGGTGTATATGTGATCTATTACTGTCACATGTACCTGGCTACAGTGAAAAGTTTTGTTTTGCGTGCAGTACAGGCAGACCACACCATACAAAGTGCGTTGGGGTAATAGCACAGAGCGAGGGACACAATGTTACGGCAAGCGAGATCAACATTACAGTGAAAGTTTGAGAGGTCCACTCAGCAGTCTAATAACAGTGGGGAAGAAGCTGATTTTGAATCTGTTGGTGTGCGTGTTTAAGTTTTTGTGTCTTCTGCTTGACGGAAGAGATTGTAACCAACATGGGGGTCGGGGGTGGGGGGAGATCTTAGATTATGACCTTCCGCCACACCTTTCTGTCTCTGCTTGGATTTCGCTTTTATTATCACGTACTCCAAAAGTTTACAAATTGCCACCTTAGGTACCGAGGTACAGATTCTTCAGTACAAAATTCTTAGGGGCGGTGGGGGAAAGAAGAAGATTTAAAAAACCAGGGAGGGAGAGCAGTGTAGATGCTCCAGAATGCTATCTGCTCGCCAAGGGTTAGATTACAAGGAGGGTCCACAGGATGCAGACTGGTGTACCCTGGAATTTAGAAGGGGAAATTCAATCAAAGTTTGAGCTGTTTGTTGGTGGCTGGGGGCGGGTGTGTGTGTGTGGGTGGGTGGTTTTGGTGGTGTCATGATGGAGAGAAACTGGTGAGGGAAGTCTCAGATGATCGCTGCAGAATCTGATACGTCCAGCCCAGGTCTTTCAGGAGCAAAATGAGTAACTGCTTTGTGCACTCAAAGCGAGGTAGAAGTTCGCAATAAGTGGAGAGTTCACAGGAAAATCTTTTCACTGTACTTCTGCGCTGGAGTGCAAGTGACAATAGGGGATATTCATTCAGGAAGCAGACTGGAATACTGTGTTCAGTTTGGTCTCCCTGCTATAGGAAAGGTGTTGTGAAACTTTTAAGGGTTCCTGGAGCGTCGGAGGCTGAAGGGTGACCTTATAGAGGTTTGTAAAGCCGTGAAGGACATAGATAGATTCAAGATCATTTCCCCAGGGTAGGGGAGTCCAAAGCTAGAGGTTTAAAGTGAGAGGGGAAAGATTTAAAAGGGACCCGAGGGGTAACTTTTTCATACAGAGGGCGGTGCGTGTATGGAATGAGCTGCCAGAGGAAGTGGTGGAGGCTGGTACAATAACAACATTTGAAGGGCATCTGGATGGGTACATGAAGAGAGAGACATGGGCCAAATACTAGCAAATGGGACTAGATTAATTTAGGATATCTGGTTGGCACGGATGAGTTTCCATGCTGTACAGCTCTATGGTGTTCTCCGGAATGTAAAAGATTAGAGATTCTGATCAAAAACAGAGGGGTCAATTTGTGGTGACTGACAGAAACTATTTCAGCTGTTTGGTGAGGTTTTGGATGGGTGAGGATGGGGGGTTGAGGATGAGAATCAAAAACACCAGGACGTACAAAGGGAGTGAGAGCACTGGAAGCAGTCATTTCTGAATCAGTTGTTAACTTTGAATGTGAGTTTTTTATTTTAAAATCCAAAGCTATAAAATGATACGGGACGAATCTCTGGAGTTAAGATTGCAGATCAGACATCATCTGCTTGAAGGACTGAATATCCTCCTGTTCCTATCTCCTCCTCCTCACTGGTGAAGCAGTGGGCTCGGGTGGTTGCTACAGAAACCGTGTACAGTCTCCTGACCCAAGGGAGTGTGTGTGAGAAGTACACTCGACTGGTCCTGAGCACAAAGAGGAGGCTTGAGGATAGATTGAAGAGGTTGGGACAGTCCTGCTGGGAGAGAAGACGACCGAGGGCAGATTTGATAGAGGTTTTTGGGATGACGAGCGGGGCTAGACAGAGTAGATGGGGAGAAGCTGCCCCGGCTCGTAAAAGGAACGAGAGCGAGAGGGGCGTAGATTTTAAAGTGACGTGCGAAAGAAGCACAGGAAGGTAGGAAATGGGAGCAGGAGCAGGAGCAGGCCCCCCCTCGATCCTGCTCTGCCATTCAATAAGATCGTGGCTGATCTTTTCATGGACTCAGCTCCACTTACCGACCCACTCACCCTAATCCTTAATCCCTTTCCTGTTCAAAGTTCTAGCTATTTTTGCCTTAAAAACATTCAACGAGGAAGCCTCAACTGTCTCACTGGGGAATTCCACAGATTCATTTGGGTGAAGAAGTTCCTCCTCAGCTCCATCCTAAATCTGCTCCCCCCTTATTTTGAGGCAATGCCCCCCCTAGTTCTAGTATCACCCACCAGTGGAAACAACCTCTCTGCTTCTATCTTATCTATTCCCTTCACCATTTTATACGTTTCGATAAGATCCACACCCCAACCTTAAGCAAAGGGTGACATGAGAACATACTTCTACAAACAGCGAATGGTGAGAGTGTGTGCTGCCTCCTGCTGGAGCTGAGGCATTCAAGAGGCCAGGAACAAACCTCAGCAGTTCAACCCATCGAGTCTGCTGTGCCGTTCGAAAACGGCTGATAACGTTTCTCGAACCCATTCTGCCGGCCTCTCCCCTGAGCCCTCGCACCCCTGACCAGTCGAGAACCCACCTATCTCGGTGTTAAAGGCGCTCAGTGACACAGCCTCCTGTGGTAATGAGCTCCACAGATTCACCAACCACCCCCCCTCACCCGGCTGTCGGACCTCCTCTTCTGTCGCATAATTATTTGGATGAGAAACAGCGTGCGGGGATTAGAGAGAAAAGGCAGGAGATTGACGCCGGTGGTGGGGGTGGGGTTGGGGGGGTGCAGACATCAGTGGGGCTGAATGGCCTCCTTGCATACGGTGACAATTCCGAGTGTCCCCTTCAGGGGAGACGTTGAGTAAGGCGGGGAGCGGGGGATAAAGCTTGAGAGTGATCATGTTCTGCCCAGCGCATGCTTGACGTGAGTGCAAGGGCACAGCATGATGTAAGTTCTCTTGTCTTGACGGAGGCCATGTTGGGAGGATGGCGGTTCCTCGCTAATGTGTGTTGGGGGGGTACTGTTTCTTACAGGCGGAGGGATATGCGGAAGGCGACTATACCTTATACCACCGCTTCACGCTGATGGAGTTCGTCAAGGCCCAGAATCCAGTCGATTTCCTGGACAAAGCCAGTGAGGTGAGCAACCAGTGAGGTCGCGAGCCGACCTCTGACCTCTTCCCCAGTGACCTGCGGCCATAGTGACCCCTAACCCCCACACTGGTGTGACCTCTTCACTGAGAATCCGCTAAAGCAGTTGGGGAGGGAGGAGGGCTGCCATTTGGGTGGCGGATTGAATTAAACTTGGAGGTCACCGCTGTTGCCACTTGGGAAGACCGATAGGGAAGGGATTTCTCACACAACAATTCCCGATCCCACAGAGGGAATCACGGGAATGACAAGGCCGTAAGAGGTCCCATTGTCGAGGCAGTCAATCAGGGTCAGTACTGAGGCAGTGGGCGCTGTCGG